TTTATAGGTTGAATGTGAGAGATATTGATATCGCACATACGGTCAAAATACGGCTATTCACGATCCGTTTGCGGTGTCTATATATTTAGATAATTAATTCTCTTGACAGCACATGGCCTTGGCAACTTTGTTATATTGAGGGAGATTTTGATATCGCGTATATACGTCAAAAAGTGATATACTTAATATTCGCGATCCGTTGCTATAGACGATTGTTTCTCTCAAAAAACAAAGCTATTTTGGTAATTTTGAGACAATTTGGGGCAGGGCAAATTTGCTTTTTGTGAAAAATTATCATTTAATAAATGTTGCATTTACAATGGGAAGAATACTCGTAATTCTCCGGGCAATAAAACTGTCGTTTGGTGGGAATTTGAGGTGGCCCCTTTCGTAATCGAGCAACGATCGTTCTCTGATTGGCTTTTATTTTTGCAACGACTTCGGTGGCGAACCTGCACCGACACATTCGGCGACGTGACGCGAGCGATTCACTGCGAGTTGAACGACGCGCGGCGCGGCGGCTCGTCTCGTCTATGACTGACGGCTCATAAAACCTTATCGTCTGTTGTTCGGCACGAGCAAACGAACCCCTCCCGACACTATCGTCTCTCTTGGGTTAACGTAAATACGAGAAACGATTAAACGCGAGCAATCCTCTCGGCGACTTCCAAACACTCGGCGTTTTAGGTAAATTCTACGGCGCCGTAACTTTTTTTTATCTTTATCTTGTTTTCGGCCGGCTAGTTTCCGTGATATTTGTATGTGTCATTATAAATGATGGTCCGCTAGATGATCACGTTATGATGGATGTTACGCCACCGAAATTTTCATAATTTCTCTGTTCCGCAAATTTTTTCGCTAACCGTGTCTAAATTTTTTTTAAATAGAAAATAAGGTATTATTATAAGGTATTATTACCTCAGATTATTTTTAACTAATTTTTATCATTGAATTCTTTTATTTTGTATTGTTAATAATTAAATAGGTAGGTAGGTTAATAATTAAATTTATATTTCAACATTGGAGATCAATTATCATATTCTTTTCTAACATATTAATTTGAGCCAAGTATAATAGAGGATATCTTAAGTGGTCTAAGAGATCCTATATTTCACTTTTTATTTAGGATTTTTTGGATTTTGTTGTGGACGCATATAGATAAAATTATATTCTACCAATAAGATACAATAAATGCTAAATAGTTACGACACACAGATGTACGAAATGACGTTCTTTCCTGCACTTTCAATAACCGCGAGTCAGATGACAACGATTATAATGATAAGATTATAAAAGATAAAAAGAAAGCATCTATTTCGTCTTCCATTCTGAAGTAGACGAGGCAGGCAGTCATGAGCGTATGATTAATCTATCATGATATTAAATTCTCATGCAATATATTGGAACAGTTTAGAATACACTTATTGTTAAACAATTTATAAACATTAAAGTTAACAGCTGGATAAAAAAAAATTGGTTTTAAATAATCACATTTATTTTGAAAGATAATATTAGTGATGATAATAAGGTGATAGATTCAAGCTGTGAAACATAAGTAAAAGTAAATAAAAAGATTAATCTCTACAAGCCCCATGCATCTCATCGAGTTAAAAGAAGACACATTTACGATTTCAAAGTAATAAAAATTAAATTACATTTTTAGCTTTTAATATAAAATAATAATCAACGATTTATATTTGCATTAAAAAAATTTTAACGAATTGAATTTGCTTATTATCCGACAGTAGAGATATTATTTTTTTTAAATGTTTATCATAAAAATTAATAAAGTTTGAAGTTTGAGCAACAGTCTTTTTTAATTTTTTATTATTACGTCTTATTCTTATACATTTTCATTATGTCTCGTTTCTTATTCGCCGAATCTGTTTTAGCAGCCGATTCTTAATTAACCTTTGATCCTCCTATGCCACGTATCATTAACCGTAATCGTTTGATAAGAAGTGGGCTCACTTTGACGACCTTGACGTACGTCAGTTACCCTCGCGACTACGGTAATTGTTACTTGTCCGCCTCTCCGAATGCCATACGTGTGCGACCTATAGATATGTTATACGCGTCGCGTATTCGCATCCGTCAGATTTTCCACGTCTGTGAGTCGACGCGACGTGCGCTCCCCGCCGGCGACCGTAGGGAAACCTTTAGGGGTGAAAACGCGCAGGGGATGGCGGCAATCTCCGTCGAAACGCGTTTCTCACTGCGGCGGTTGGAAACGAAATACCTCGCGATTTTATTCGCGCGTACGAATCCCTACTATATTGAAAATACTCGTAGATTTAGCAAAACGTCCAAAAATGTTTTATAGGTACAAAATATTTAAATTAAAGTGATACAAATAAATTTAAAAATCGATTAAAATAATATATTAGAATAAGATAAAACATTTTACTTCTACGTATTTTTATCGCATATTCGTTTAATATTAACATAAGGGGTATTCAAATAAGTTAAAGTTTACTGGTTTAACCCGACAGGTTATGTCGGGTTAAAGTCGAGTAAAAAGTTAATTAATTAACTTTGGGCGCGCTACTCTTTAAGGTTATGCAAAATACATAAGTGACTCATTAACCTATCACATTAATCTTTGGGTTAAAAGTTTAAAAATTAACTTTTTACTCGACTTTAACCCGACATAACCTGTCAAACCGTTAAACTTTAACTTATTTGAATACCCCTATAGTGTATATATGTTGTACTATAAATCGTTTGAGCGAAGCCGGTTTTATATAAAATATCGCGATTTATTGTTGTAATTGATCGTAGCTGCAGCCTCTCACTAACAATTTGCATGATCGGAGATGTGTCGCGAATATTCGAGAGAGTCGAGATGGCAGAAACAACCCTCGGAGTTGCGGCACGTCGGGGCACGCACATAGGGGCGACGAGGACGCGTGTCCGCGTTCCCACGTGTCGACGGCGCCGGGGATCGTATCGGCGTACATGTATACCGCCGTTGTGTGCTGTCGTCCCGTCACGTTTCTCACTCTCGCGGATTCTACACCGATATTTGCCCTTTTCGCGGCTATAAGTGGGTGCGATCGCCCTACGACAGACAATCTCGAAATTCTGGATAAATAATCGGCAGTCTCGTAAAAGTATACTTATAATCTAATTTCTCGTCTGTGCACCTTGCATTCTCGTTCTTGCATTCATATCAAATGATTTTATTAAGTGGGATTAATCTTGATCTTCGTAAAGAAGTCCACACACACACACAGCGCATTATTATATAAATTATATCAAAATTATATCTTAATATTTTGTTCTAAACTTATACAACATGCACGTGGAAACAAATGTAATTGTATAAAAATAAGCTAATAATGTGTGGTCCAGTTTTAGTTTCATGACATTCATATTTATTCACAATTAATTACTCGTCATATAAAAAGATATATTATCTTTAATAGGCGTGTAAATTATATTTGATAGTAATTGCAATCAAATGTGACGATCAAAGATAAATTTAAGGAAGATTTAACGAGAAGATCGGACCTGGTCTTCGAAGTAGGCGGGGGAGAGAGCGCGTTAATTAACTAAAATCAGGTCCGGATAATCGAAATAATCTCCGGAGCCGCAATGAGAGGGGATTAGACATCTACTGAAATACTAATCCATTTGTTATACACCACCAGCAGTAAAATCTATCCGCCCGGGCGCGCTCCTAGGACGTTGTTATTTTAGGTGATATCTGAGAGCATGGCTGAGGAGACGCGAGGGGGGAGGGGGGCGGTGAATAGATTGAGCAGAGGCAGAAGGGAAATGCGGAGAACGGTCGTCGTCGCGCAGGTTGTGGGTCGAGCCTTAGCGAGGGAAGCGCCCGAGGACCCTCGAAGGTAATCTTGGCTCGTTCGCGGAGGGTTGCATTTTGATCCCCGGAGCTTCCGCCGTGGCACGATCTCTCCGCGCCACCACTGCGTCCGGGGCTCACGCATTTACTATAATTAGAACTCCCTAATTAACGAGCAAACGTCGCACGGGTCTGTCGTAATCTCAGGCTTGACCTTCCACCATCGTTTAGACGCCTTTTCTCGCCCCGCGTTTTAATCCGCCTTCCTCCGCCTCCTTCCCTCACCGCCTCGGTCTGCCCATTCGCGGAACATCAAGAAAAAGTGGAGGCTGCGCGCGGCACTAAAATTTATTCCATTCTTTTTATTTCGAGATTAAGAGTAATGTATATATACTAAAGGCGATGAGTTTGGCGATTGTCAAAAGGCAAATGCCATTAAATTGTTTCGTTCTATTTTTATGTGAAAAAGTACATTCCATACAGTTTTAAAATCATTAATATCTTTATGATATTGGATACTGTAGGAACATTTGGAATTATTTTGAGAGAAAGAGAGGATGAAAGAATTCGTAATGTCACTTCTGTGAACTAGTAATATTTGCATATGTTTCGTAAATCGACGCGAAAACGGCATTCCTGAAATATATTTTCAGTGACGCTGATTCTCTTGCTCGGCTGGTAGTTGGTATCCTTTAAAGCTCGTGTACGAGAAATGATAACACGACGAACGTTTCCCGTTTGTTCCCACCGCATTCGAAATCACACGACGCGTAATATCAACTTTGACACTCACGCATCACCAGATACCCCTTTTTCCTTAGGGACAAGTTGTTTTAAAATAATTTTAAAACATTGAGTAAACACTACATGCTGGCACGTGCAACCATATTGAACCAAAATGAGAAAATAAGTTTTTTAAATCGCCACCCCTTCGTAGGCCTCTATTTAGAAAGTCTTCCCCTCTCTTTCTGTCGTCAGTGAAGGCTGAGAAACGGCAAATAAACTAAGGATTAATTTTATAGGATCGCACGCTATTTAATTGAATATCATAAGTTTTTTTATTGACATTTTATATTAAATTTATTTTGAATAATATTAAAATGCAAAAATGAAAGTTTGACATAAATGTATACATTATATAGATAAACTTATAAAAATTAAGAGTTAAATATAAAGTTGCGGACATATAATTCCTTTATATGCATAATATATATGGAATTAGAAAATGTGTTTTACCAATTCTAGAGAAGCAATGGATTAAAATGGAAATTACATCATATGTGACGTCTGGTTAATTTAGTGCGTTGCTTATTATTCGCTGTGTCATTTGCGGCTTTGTCTATTTAGCTGAAACGACGGTGGAAGAACGAAATCCGAAAGGAACGATAAAACCCGACGGGTAGTGCCAGTGTGCACCGCGCTGATAAATATAACGTAACAAGTTCAGTGGAATAACAGCTTCATCCTGGAGGGATCAATGCGACTTTGCTTCGACTTTCACGCAGAATTTCCTTCTGGAAAAGCGTACGCGTAAAAGAATCGAATAGATAGAGCGGAATCAGTTCAAATGTGGTATACAGTAGCATCATTGCTCAGTCATTACTTGTGTGAATGTATCTTTAAAAATAATGCTGTGCCGATCCAAATTAATTTCTAAATATTTAAAATTATTTGATCTAATCGTATCGGTTCGATTTCCGTTTGATCAGCTTTATTACAGAATGAGCTGTAGCAGCTCATTTTTGTGTATACGCAGTTTGACGTTTTTATGAAGGGTAAATTCTACTGTCGGACACTATATTATGCAGTTGATTGCGTTCGACAGAATAGATCGCGACCGGTCGTTAATTTGCAATGACGAAGAAGCTTTCCATCTCCTTAATGGCAGTGGAAAAACTATATGCGCACGCGCGACCGTAAAAAGTAAATTAAATAAGAATTAAATACAAATAAAATCGTTCAGCCAAGTAATTGGCTGGTAACCTCACTCGTTGCCTGACGACCGTCTGAGATCGTTCTACCCTTATAGCCTCTCTTCATTATACTGGGACAGAAAAAGGATCCACGTCAATAGAGTCAATAGACACGCTCTGCGACATAATCCACAGAAAAATTACTATTATCGAGACCACCGAGTTTACGATTAATCGAAACAATCACAAACGACGTATCCATATGGTGTCACGCAAAACTGTAATAAGTCCAGATAACAAATTCGACGTAGATCGTAATACATCCATGATAGAGCAAAAATTCTGTTAACTTTTAATACAAAAATGATGAAGGAAAGTTGAACGCGCGCGAGCGTGAAAATTCATCACCTCGCGCCGTTGCGAGGTTCGTCAAAAAGCGTTTTAAAGGAGCTAGGAGAATGGGGTCAGACAGAGGAAAGAGGAAGGGTAGCGTACTACATCTCATAGCCGAGGTGGAGTTTTCGTGACGAGGCGGTCGGCGGGGCAATCATGGTCGGATTAGACGTATGTATAAGGATCGTGCTGCCTACTCCGGCTGCCCGGCGCGGAGAGAGGGTGTCGGAGGGTTGCGAGCCGGGTCAAACGGGTCGCAAGATAGACGTTTGCGCGCGGGGTGAGAAACATAAATGATATTTCATGAGGAGCATATGCGTGCGGAGATGACTCCTCCTTCGCGCGAGCCCTCGGCGAGGGTGGCTCCGCTGTCACCCTGAGCTGGCAGCGGGGCGCTGGTTTATTACAAACAAGGATTACCCGGGTAATGGGACATTCTGTCCCTTCAGCTCACTGCCGTGCCGAGTCGAGCAGTGAGAACTTGGTGCGCACTGACTCACGCGCGCCTGCCGATCTTCGAGCCGCCTGCGCCTCGAACTGTCAAAGGGGCGAAAATGCGAGAGCCGGCAATCGGGAGATTTCTGCTCGCGATAACCGAGGCAAGCTCGTGAGCCACTGGTTAAATTTGTCAACATGATCAGATTGGCATAGATAGATAGGATAATCGGATATTTTGTCACGCTGCGAAATAATGGCGACGATTGACGCGATTTAATCATATCTGTCTTCGTGATGTACAGAAGTCTTCTAATGCGATCAATTTCGTGTCTACATTACAGTCACGTTGACAATCCGCTGCTTCTCGAAGTGTTCCAAAACGTAAATCTCGCCAGATTATGCCAATAGCGATAATGGTATTTGTAAAAGCGGGTGCTTCATTCGGCGAATTGCAGGTTTCAGTTTAATCCGAACGTTCTCCAAGCGTGCCGCTCAAACACCGTCCAAATCCGTGTTTAAATACTGTAAAAAGTTCCGTCGATTTTGCGACTGTATCCGGGATTCGATTGGTCCATATGAGGACCCTCGATATTTAATTTCACGCTGCTCGGATGAATTCTGCGCGGTAAAGTTGGCCCGCTATGACACCTCGATTTATCCGCCGATAAAGGTACCCGAACTACCGATTTAAGTTCCTCGTCCGGATGACCGCTCACGTGCCTCGGTCTATCTGGTTTAGGTGGTTCTGGTAAAATCTAAAAATGTTCAAACATATCCGTTTATTTTTCATACTGAGATTTTATATTGTTGAATGACGCATTTGCATAATTCAAAGTACCTTAATCTCGTTTCGCAAGACACGCCAAGTTTCTCTGCCGAGCGTCTCTGGCTGGATGGGTACGTACATTTTCGAAACTAGAGTGTCTCGACTGTGAGCGTAAACGCTGTTTAATGCTAGGTCAAGGGCGTCATGCGGAACCTGTAAAAGCAGGTGTATGTGTATTATGCAGGCCTGTATCAACCAAAGTTGACGCAATATACAAAGTTTTACTTTCAATATCGTCAATATCGAATATCAAACCTGCGGTCTGACGAGTCGACGATCTCTGCGGATGCTGTTCAGGGTGTGATGAGCGAAGAGACGCTCGTGAGCGCTCAATTTGACGTTCCAGTCTCTATCCGACGGCAAGACTTTATCTCCCAACACAGGTCCGCGCGATATCCACGCTCCTTCCCGGGAGATATCCGGCACAGGATAAGGATTTCGAACGTAGAATGCCTGGGCCATTATAGCGCGACCTATACCAACATCGTAAAATATATGTACGAGTCAATTTTCTAATCGAAACATGCTGTAATCTTAATGTTGTTGCGAGTTAAGAGTAAAGTCCTGTCAGTGAATCGTTCGACTAGCTTACCGAGAGAAGTATGCAAAGAGATCTAGAACGACTAGCAATTCATGTGTTTCAGAGATTTCAATTAACAAGTTAAATTTTTACACATTTTTAATTTTTCTCCAGAAAATTTTTTACTTGCGATTAAAAGCAAGAAGTAGAAAGAATCGGTACATTATTATTTTTATCTCGAATTTATTTCTGTATGCCTTATTTTCATATCAGTTTTAACATTGTTCTAATATTTTAATTCATACTTTTCAAAATATTTTTTTAATTAATCAAAACGGAAGTGTTCGTTATGTTTTTATTCTTATATGAGCGTTGTTTTCTTCTTATACGATAACACTCTCTCGTTTCATGTAAATCTACAGCAAACAATGCCAATCCGTTCGGGATTCAAGAGGCCGCATCCGGTCTCGCAGTCTGTTTCTTCGGGATTAAGACGCGACTCCGCCGCAGAGAGCAACACTCGAGTTGATACGCGGCTCGCGTGGATTTCGATCCTCGTCCATAAACGAAACCGACTTTAACCCATGCGAACGGCCTGCATCGTATCACTCTCCACGGGGTGTCCACTTATCGTTTCTTCCGCTCGTTCTCGCTTTCGCGGTGGTATTTGGATATTTCCTAGGCTCAAAGTTTCCCGAAGTCTTTCACGGACGCTTTCGCGTCGTGAAAGGATCTTCTATGAAATTCGGCCGAGGCTTTTCACGAATAATACCATTTATACGCCTTTTCTTTCGCGCTTGTTCGAATTCAGCCGGTCGGTTAACGTCATATCCGGCAGAAATGAGTTTTCATTAGAAAGGATATAGAAATGTAAACGGAATAATTGAATTCAATAAGTTTAAACCGATTTGTAGTAGTTTGAGGTATACTAATGCATAGTTCTGAACTAAGCTGTAGTTTAGAAAGAAAGTCGCAGAGAGAAATGACACCGAAACTAAATCTGAAGCTACTTCAAAGTGAAGATATTTCTTAGTTTACGGGTTCTTGTTAAAACGATTCTCTACCAGTTTGAAACATAATCTTATTGAAATACAATACGTGTAGTTATTACTATTTGCGTGCTCGGTATCAGATCCTGGTGGAATTCGTCGAGTAAACCGAGAAATCGCGAATCGCGGTTGCGCGCATTCGGGCTCTTCCCGCATTTAACGTATTTTGCTCAGGAGGTGGTCGGCCACGGGGCCAACGCCGACGTCCAATATTAAACCCGTAGTAATTTATGTTAGCGCGAGCGTGCATAATGCTGTTTGTATAAAGCGCTACCGCCACGTGTCGACTCGTGCCGACGCGCGACGGTACGTATCACTCCCTTCTGCCTGTCCTTTAATTCCCGCTGTGCTGCGTAGGCGACCCCGCAAAATCCCGGCCAGTTACGTACGCATGCCATTTTATACGTATCTTTGCGTCTTGGATTCTAAGACACGTAAAAAAAAATAATACTACACTTGTTGGTAGGGATTATTTTATTATCTTATTAAAACTATTACCAATTTTTTATTTTACGCAAACTTATCAATTTAAATTTTTTTTTAAATGAAAAATTGAAGATATTTTGATTATATTGAAGATTATATTGAAGATATTGCTACAAAGGATAATGCATCACTCTTACATTTGTTAGTCATAAATATCGTTGGGATTGAACGATGATATTATTAGATAGATTATTAAATAGACCTCAAATACGACGAAAAAGTGGCGCCCCTTTTTTTTCTCGGCAGATGCTGGTTTATATATAGCGTATAGATTCGCTCCTCGCGGATGATATGAGGGAGCGAATCATCTTCCGCGTCATTGCTTGTTCGACCTCTCCTTCGGAGCGTCAGCCCGGGCTGTACGATGGGGAGACGACACGCGTAATCGCGTAATCGCGTAATCGTGGCGCGTGCTGAAGTTCGGGTTGCGGGAGCTTTGCGTGCGTCTACACTGGCGCACGTGCGACGTTGCACACCCTGAATCAACAGCGATCGCGAATCGCACAGATCTGTTCGTGAACGTCAAACGGACGCATCCGTCCGTCCGTCCGTCCGTCCGTTCGTCCGGACGGTGAATCCCGGTAGTGCGTTTTACGAGATAATCGGCGCAACGACCTGAACCGGATTATCGCCGACTATCATAAGCGCATCAAGTGTACGCGACCGAAATGACGCTAATTAAGCAAGATGGGTGATTGCGGTAATGACCGTAATTTTCGGAAGAGTAGATTAACAATTAACTTACGTTATCGATATTGTGATATTACAGTCGCATTAGTTCCGCTGATTAAAAAAAAATAATTTTAGAACGTAATTTTTATAACATTTTATTCACATTATATGTATATACAAAAGAGGGATTTGTTTTTATGATATGTATGCAAATAAATTTAATTAAAAAATTCAACATATAATATTATACTGTATTTTATTTGAAAAATGGTGTGTTTAATTGCATGAAATATTTATAATATTTGTATATATATTAGATTTTTTCAAATTACGCTATCTTTATATTCTTTAGTTTCTTAACGTTGGAATTACTTGTGACGTTATAAGCGACAAAAAAAAAAAAGAAAAGGTGCGAACCTGTCTTTTTACTTTTTCGACTTTACCGTGTTTACTACCGCACCCTGCAGCAATACGCGGCGTATTCCGCAGAAATGACCGAGTTCCTACGATTGTGCCGAGATTCCCTTTAAATCCTAATCCGGTAATATTCTCGGGCCGATATACCGGCATCGGTAATGGAATCGCGCATTCAAATGGACATCGTTTCCCACCGACGGCGACGGCAGGAGGCAGGTCGCGGCGAGGGACAATGCCAGGGGATGATATTGCCAATATTTGGCTTGATTCTGGTGCGAATGTGCTCGGCTGTGTGCCGAGGGGTGCGCCCGCTCTCTCGCACCCCCTTGAAACGTTGGGTTTGGTAGGGCGCGTCGGTGTACGTTAGACGCGCGAGCCGATTACCATTTGAATGCCCCTACCAGCGGTCAGGCTTTGTGAGCCCCCGTGACACTGACCGCACCTACCTATCTATCTAAGGGAGAGATCCACCTACCCCCCTAGTCGCCCCCTTTTTGTCGACGACCGTCTGTTCCACGATGATGCTGCGTCGAGAAAGAGTGGTCGTCGAGATTTGTCAACATCTCTTACTCCCACTTAATTTTTTTCCACGGTCGTTCCAGCTTGGTTGTCGACTGGCGTCTCCCATTCGAAAGATCGATCGAATTGGGTGTCGAACTGGGAGAAAAAAAAGGTGATCGAATTGGTTGAACTGGTGGCGCGAGCAGTTCACTCCTGAGAAGGTGGACACTTCTAATCGATTGAGTCTAAGGGGCGTTCCGACGCCCGGCGCGCTTCCCTTTGTTTCCTCGCAATCTGACATATTTGTTGTTTTCCTGGCATTGTGTTCAAACGACGGCGGCAGATGATGATGATGACGAAAATCGGGAAAGATTATGTTTTGTCGGGAAACATTCAAAGAGTAAGTCAACCAAACGACACTTCCCAATAAGCGTGCATTAATTCGAAATCCAGGATAACATTTTTAGATGCCGTCAAAAGTCATAAATCAAATATTTGATTTTTACATATTATGTACTATGAAACCTGTAGATTAGAATTTTTTACAATAGTGATTACATATCTCGTATCATGCATGAACTTGATGATTTCAATCGCTTATTGACGCATCTTCCTCCCGTCACATATATAGATGTGTATGCATGATTATGGATATTTACGTGTATTAATTTGGAAGGTTCATCATATGCTAGTTTAAGCATATGCTTTTTATTCTAAAATCAAAGATGTTTTATTTTCTGAAGATATAAGATTCTTTTTTTTTTTTAATACAAAAAAGAAATATTAAAGGAAACGACTGACATACATTTGGTAAGAAATTAGATCGCAGCGAAAGTAGAATTTCCTTTTATGATTTTCGCAGATAAGTCAGAGTTAGTTTCCACGGTACAGTCCACTACCCTCGGTGTAGAATAATGTCTTACACCCTGCGTGACCGATGCGACAAAACGAATAGGGCGGATGAGGCGTCGGTGCGACAGGTGGCCCGTGAAATCAGTGCACGAGCGCGCCGTTTTCCACGACCCTCGCTCGATGCGCTTCATTAGGAAATTAAGTGCATAATAATTAGAGTCGGGGTGCCGATAGGTCACGTTAAACGTTTTGTCTTACGATCTATCCCATCGGGTAGCCAACTTATTCTTCATGCGCGATTTAGTATGATTACAAAAGAAATATTGCGTTTATTTTCGTTCAAAAAAATTGGACCGCTATGAACAATTATAATTTATAATTGGTAATTGACATAAATTAATATAAATTATCGCGCGATGGATTTTTGCTTGAAAGAAAAATAATCTTGCTGTATAAAAGTGGAATTAGTTGAGCATTATTATTGCTAAGGAAAAACTTGATTTGCGCATTCATCAAAGAATCCGTGCGTGAAATATTTTTCGGTAAGTGCGGAACATTCCGTATACAATGCTCGTGCACAATTTGCATACCGATGATCGAGGGGGGTGCTTGCGCAGTTTCGTGCGTCGCGCGGGCTCGCCGGTGTATTTTAGCATTTCACGTTTGTTTCCATTTAAATGGTAATCGGGTTCATAATGTAATTGTATTCGCCGCGTAAGCCCGGGCTCACCGCAGCGCTACGTCCCGGCCATTGTTTGCATTGTTCTCCTCGCGGCGCGAACAATCCGCGCGCCGCGCTGCCTTTCAGCCTCGCGTTTTGGCGAAATCTAAACCCCTCGGTCCCCTCCCGCCCGCCACTCGCGCCCGATATTTCGCCCCGATGCGAAAACAACGCGTATCTCGCCGACGAATGTCCGTCGAATGCTTATTCGATCGGAAATATTCATATCGAAGTAGAGAGTTTTTAATCCACCGCTTCAAACACACGCGTAACAGAAAGCACGATACTCTCTAATTTTTAATTGCAACGAATACTAAATTATTTTCAGAGTGAAATAATATGATATATTGCACTTAACATAATTGCATGACGTATTCCCGTACTTATATGTATAGTAAAAAATATCAAATATATATTTTTGTATATAAATAATTATGAAGGTACATGTATATATTAATGTAAAAAATATTTCTGTGATTAGTATCTAGATATATCTAACACACTTGGTCTTTGTTATATTATCATAGAGATTTATAGATATTATTTAAATAATCGGAAGTATAGTAAATCTCGTCGTGATATATAACGACATTATTTTCTAACGTTTTTTTTTTCTCTCGGTGATGTGATTTTTTTCACGTAAATTTATAGAGACAACGTAGATCATCGCGCAACGTTAACCGGCGTTACCTCGCATGGGGAACGAATCGTTAAACAGCTCACGGAGAACTCGCAGAATCCGTCGAGGTGAAACGCAGAGCGACGGCGGTCGGGGGTTGAAACGAGGTATGCGAAGGGGGTTGGGCGTTATTGTAACGCGAGGGATGTACCCGACAACGTAGCGTATACGCATATAATACGCGCGTGCTCGCGCGCAGGTATACATACGTCAGAGTCGCGCGGTCGCCTTTCTCTCATACATATTCATCAAACGCTAATTAATCATCGCCCGGCACACCCACGGCGAGCCACCCCCTTGGCAGCCCACGAAGCTGGGAAAAAAAAATACGAGCGTTGTCACGCAGACACCTCCATATATTACGAGCTACATCCATATGTCGAAGTCGTCACTATATGTAGCGAGATTTTTGCGTGAATGCGCAGGAAAATATTAAATTCGGTAGCAAAAGATGTTTGCACTTTCTCTTGAACTGCATTAAAAGTGTTAATAAGGAAAAGGGAATGTTTAGTATTAAACGTCGATACCACTTAATATCAAAGCTAAAATATCAATACCAGAAAGGATCTTATCACGCTTTCGCAAATTGTAGCGAACAAACGATATAATTAAAGTGCCTTTCAATCTTTAATCGAAATACTTTGAAATAAAAAAATGATGTAAAACAAACTGCCTTTGTCACAGTGAAACAAAAGAAATTGCGTTTAAAGAGCCGTCATAAATTTTACGGACGTTATCTGGCGTGAGAGGAGTTGAACGGTATAGCGAGGTATCGATACGGCGGAAACAATATCGAAATATCCACGAGCTGCACGAGCACTCCCGCTCCGTAGGTCATAAATATCGTCGTGTTGGACGATCAATCTAAATTGTAATTTTGTAATCCCATTAAGCAGGCGGCCACCTTCGCACGCACTTGCGGGGTCCTTCCGTCGGCCGGCCCTTTTCACGCAGACGGGCCGCATATAATTAGGTGTCGTTTATTTTACATCTGAAGGCGCCTCGCGCCGTTGGGGTGACATTGCCACCACCAATATATATATACATATATATAATACATATATACATATATATATCGTATATGTATGCACCGGGTCTTTATACATATATAGTCGCGCGATGTGGCAGTGGCTCATAGAACGCTCGACTGCTAATGTGACGCGATCATCGCCACCCAGCCATCGTCCATTGATATTATACGCGCCGTGGGGATGCCCGCACCCTTCTCGCCCTTTCGGTATTTCCTGCCAACCCTGCCTTCGCTGTAACACCCATCCCCGGCTCTTCTCGTAGAATAGCACCGCAATTTTCTACGTCACTGTTCGTACATTACGCGATCTCTCGCCCGCGAGATGATGATACGGTCCGATGCTTCATTGACTTATTGATATCGAGGGGAAATATATCGGTTATATCGTTTTATTCTCATTATTGAGAGAATTTTGAATGTTACTTTACGAAAATGTACGTTACTCGTATACATATACTACGTGTGGTTAAAATCAAAACGTCTAGAAGCAGTTTTGAATTTGATTTATCAATTACTATTATTGGTTCTCTATGTCTTCCTACAGAATCTCTTTAAGAATAGAATAAATTAACAATATATAGGTACTGTATTTTATGATATCTTGTGACTATCATAAACACTTGAAATAATTAGTACTTAAGAGACTTATTTCTTTGTGCGATTAGTAACATGTCAATAGGTACATGTCAAACATGTCGAACAAAATAGTTATATACAATATACTATAATAGTCCATTATATGGAATGATTTATAAATGCGAGAAGAATTCACGAATGTAAAAAGAGCGAACGAAAAACGTGCTCTCACGATTTCGCGCGATGAAAATGCCATTTTTTCCCTCGCTGACACTTGAAATTTCAAGATTCGGGGAACGCGTCGCGTTTGCCATTTGCTGAAAAACATGTTGGCGTGTTTTGACTGTCGCCATCAAATCGCAACGGAGCGGCAGATTGCGAACTGACAAATGAGCAATGGGGACGCGACGCACGGCAGACATATGGGCTTCATAAAAAAAAAGAGAGATAGGTGGCCTGCAGTCGATCCGAAATTAATGGAGACCAAACACCGCACATTCTGTGTCGCCGCCGTTCCCGCTGTTGTGTACACATTGGCGATCGCCATTATGCTTCTGTTATAATGTGTGTACACACCCCCTTTAGCACAATAGAATGATCTATGACCTCTGCAAGTACGAATCGGTAAGTCGGACTCGCGCTCTTCTACGATTTTTTTCCGTGTTTTCACTCTGCTCCTCTTATCTAGATTTTAGACACAGTGCATTTTCAAATTTTCGTTAAAGGATTGAAAGTCTTCATTGAATCTTGAATTCGTTAATGCAAAAGTATGAGAAGATGTGCGATCTCAATATACAAGCTAGCTCTTCCACAATATTTTTTACTATTCTTTTTTCTGTATTTAACATATTTTTCTTTAGATAAAAAACAATACTGTAGTCGAGAAAATTCTAAAAAATATATGCAACAAACGTGAATTAAAAAATACAAATAAAATAAATACTATACGTATGTTTTTGTCGAAGTAAATACCTAAAAAGATATAAACACGCATATAAATCATTTATTTTGGATATAAGAAATTAAAAGAAATATAAATATATATCAATAATAAAAAGTATAAAATGTATACTATAATTATATTTGCATGGTTAAATAATTATTTTTAACTGTAAAGAATACATGTTCTACTTTTCTTTGTACGAAGCATTGTACGAATAAGAAGAGCATTCGATATACAAATTGAGATTTTTTTGCAAGGAGCAAGAATATTTTGTATCTTATTCGTAATACGCTCGAAAGGGCAAATTTTCGCGTTACGCGTAGAATCGTGTAATTCGGCTGCGTCTAAGCGTCCAAATAATAAAATTGGATTTCGCCACCCCCGCCTTGGCGCATACGTGGCGCGTGACTCGAAGGGTAGGTTTTCGGAAGGTGGACAGGGGCACGGCGGGGTTCGAAGGGGCCGCGGGTGAGCTACAAGATCAAAGACGCCCCGCAGCAATTCCGTACCTTCTACGTGACATATTACGTGTAAATTGACGAGGACAGGCACGAGTGGCATGGCACCTAGCGAACTTTGATCATTTCACCTGTGGGACTTGTATGCCCGCGGCAGTCGCGATAAGGAATACGATCGTTGCCGATAAATTCGCTTTTGGCTCTGCCATGTAATGATGCTATTTGATGACGCATGCAAATCGAAAAGTGCGTCAATCGCTAAATTTTCTCGCGATGGCGTACAATAAAAACAGAGCTTTTGGTTTGGCGTGAAAATTAACTTGTCGGATAGGTAAGACATAACTTTTGCAAGAATTTTAGATTTCTGTTTTGCTTTCAAAAAATGAAAAATTAGATTTAAGAGAACAATGTTATTGTTAAGAAGTACTACATAAGCCTGAGTCAACTTATATACTAATCATGAATTTCTTTGTTTAGCTTTATAGCTTTACGTAGTTTTAAAACACACGTAAACACACATAAACACACGACACACATATACAAGAGAAAATATATATAGTATAATTGTTTGCTGTAAAAATTTTCCGTCAGTTTTAGTTTCAGAATATTATATACACGTTATTTCCCAATTTTTAAATTAAGTAAAATCAAGAAAAATTTATGTGAATGTTTTAAAAATTGATGATAAATAATTTTAGTTTTGTTACCTAATAACGATGAAACCGGAAAGTTGATTATTTGTTTCGCGAAAAAACGAGATATTGAGCTATAGTGAAAAGTTATAAATTTTACCTTTGCAAGCGAGAAAGATAATTTTTGACGTTTGTGTGCCACGACTTGTTCTGCACGAAACACACTGAAAATGCTCGAAAGAATAGTTTCCTTGGTAACGAGCGGAAACATTTACGTTATACGGACGTAGAGTTATGTCGATATTACTTTGATAAAGAGCCTTGAAATATCCTTCCATGCTCCATCTTTTCGCCACTTTCATGACTCCGGTGACTCAAAGAGAACTGCAGTAGATAACATTTAAATCCAGAACGCGAGTATGTTGAACTTATCTGTCTGAGAATGCTTGAAGTACCGTGACTCGGTGCTTGTACTCAATCGGTAACTTGAAAGTATCAGGTATTCAGAATGGAGCGTGATTTCATATATTGGCAATATATTGTTACGAATCTAAAATGGTAGATAAGTATTCATTGTGTATCAAAGTTGATTCTTGGAGTCTAGATATACCAGATGATATTGACATGACCAACTGTTGGTATCACAACGCATACATGAAGAAACAGATTTAATACTTTATATTGATGAAAATTATTAAATATTTTTTATAACAGAAAGAATATGTAATAAATACAAAAATTATTTGGATTACAAATTATTGAATTTAGATATGAGAATGCTGAGAAAATATTAAAATGTAAATAGTATTTAATTAGTATACTCTTTAAACTAGTATACTCTCTGAATAGTCAATGATTCAGATTTAGAGAGTAGCAATATTCTATAAAATTACAAAATAATATCCAATTGAAACAATTACATATTGCAAAAATTTTTTTATTTTTATGTTACTTTATTTTGTAATGCATTATATTCTCTATTTGAAATTTATTAAGAAGGAAGAGATTAATGTTACCATACATTTTTTTAACAAAATTGTTTATTATTTTATCTATTTATTACTAAAAATATACATATTATCAAGCAGAGTTTATAAATGATTTCAACTTTATCGGCTTCGCCCCTTTGGTGTTCGAATCATTTCAAAGCAGTCTTGTATGATGGCGGTATCTGTATTCAGGACATTTTTACTTTTATTTTAAATCATTCTCAATAGTATAAAATGTGTTAAATCATTAAAAATTAGTAGAACATTTAATTGCGTGTATCATTGTTTTATTTTAATATCTGATTTCTTTTGATGTTTCAGCTCCCCAATGATTTAAAGAAACTTCTTTTCGGAACTTTGTTCAGTCGGTGAGTTCTATCTATCTTTAACTAAAATATTAGTTAATATAGCGTTTACCTAGAAATATTTACAGTATCATACAAGTATTTTTAATTTTGATATTCCTGAATTCATGTTCAGCTATAAATCTACTTACATCCGATTGATATTTTTATTCGTATTCAAACTTATAAAAAAACATGAAATACTCAGATAGATAAAAAATTTGTGATTTACGAATACTCAGCGATAAATTTATGTATTTTTGTCGAATCTTTATCTCTTTAGTCATATCCAGTTTATAAAAATTAACATTAATTATATTTGACGCGTGATCTGGGTCATATAAATCGCAAGTATTTTAATCATCCCTAAGTCGCCGTGCCACGTGGAGGCGAAGCTGGCGGTCCACGTATCGGGTGATTTACGACACGTCGAGATAATCGGCCCACGAGGGCACGTCACATTTCGATAGCGCGTGCACAAAAAAATATGTTGGCATGTTTCGGCCGCAACACGTTATTAAATATCACGTATTATTTTGCCCCTGCGGGGTCAGTCGTGATAATGACGTAGTAGCGGCTTGTGTACGGGGGTCACGTGTACGGGGGTAAGGCACCACGACGACGGATTTCATTGGTCGACGCTGCCATCGTACCACCCATAAACGTCGTTATTCTTGTACGCCACGATAACAATTGTATGTATTTTCACGCGGGGCAACTAACCGATGTTTGTCAGCAGAGAACGCGCTGATAACGATAACTATAAGGCGCCCCGTCACGTTTTCCTCATTATCGTCATCATTGTCGAATGTTAGGACGTATCGATAAATTGTTAGATTTCTGAACTATTTATTAAAAACGAAGAAATTAATAAAAATTTTATAAGGAAAAAAATAAAAAATTTTTTAAATAAATATAAATAATATAAATTTAACTTTTTTTTAAGAAATTTCTTTTCCGATAATAAAAATAAGACTTAAAGAGGATTTATTTGATTTTTTATGTCAAAATAATATTTTATAACCCTTTTTTTGGGGTTTTAGTTAATAATTTTTAATAATAATCTATTTTTATAAATATTTTTATATAAGTATTTAACTTTTAAAAATCAATTATTAGTGTGACTTATTATTCAAAGAGTGATAATTTTTTTTCTATATATACCCTCATTTTAGATAGTTTAAACTATCGACATTTTGATCAGTTTTGTCAACAGATGCACGTTGAAATATTCAGATTCTAATGAAGCAATTATCGTCACGATTAATCTTGTTGATTATTTAATTGAAAGATATCTCGCATTAATTATATATAATCACGTTAAATTGAAAAGATATCGTGGAATCCCCAGAGATACAATGTTCCAACTATAAAATGCTCGATAAATCAGATATTTTATCGGATTTCGAGGGTCGCAACGGGGTCGATAGGTACCACGTATGCGAGATTTCGATAATTCGAGAGCGTTCATAAATAAAAAAAATTATCTGCCGATTCATCGATCGCTTTTTCGTTTTTTCACGTGCGTTAATCAAATCCGGCGATATTGAGTTGAACGATTCGTTTTGACGTGTGATTTATTTTGCTGGGTCGCGAATTTGTGCCATATATAATGGAGAGTCTAAAAACCGTTTTGTTTAGCTAAATTTACATGCTTAGACCAACATTACATCGACAGCTAGACGTTACTAACTTTGGTGAACTGTTCGCCGTTCTCTGTAGGGCTTGTATTTTTTCCGTCGAAATTTGTCTAATTTCATAAATCTGTCTATATAAAAATAATGTATTAGAAAAGGAAAATCATTTTTTCTCTTTTTTTTTAAGAGTAATTGAATCTAATATTAATTATTGCAGTTATAGGCAACTTATAAGTCAATGCATTACTAAAATTTGCTTTTTTGTTTTTTTATAACTTACATATATGTAGCTATCTTTCCTTTATTTATTTATTAGAGAGAAACGCGTTCTTATGTATATATTAAAGAAACATGTATGTATAGAAATATTTTTCTATGTATTACACATTACCATATTAATTCTGATGGTTGAGAATTAAATACAAGCAAACGGAAAGATAATAAAAATAATGAAGAGCGCGCATCTTTGAGCGTATGTTATTTAAGGGGATGTCGTGACCCCTCAAAGAAAAACATAATATGGCATCGCGCGGAGAGCAAATGAGAAAGCGTTTGATGATATTGATACCATGTAGGCCACGATCAAAACATGTTTTTGTACATCACAGTACTTTTGTCACGTTAAAATCCCAACCCCTTGCTGCTTTTTTTTGCGTGAGAGATCAACACTTCTCTTGCGTAGGTTGACTCAAGACTCAAAACTACGTTGATAGGGTTACAGTCACTCGTGTGTCAGCATCAGCTTCTTCAAATCTAAGATACAAAACAACGGAATACAATATAACGCGATAATATTTCTTCAAGAGGGGTTTAAGTATAAAATATTTATCTCATATTAATTCATGACTTTGCGTGCACATTTATTTTTATATCAAAGAAGAAGAGTTTGACAGATTAATGAGATGATTCTCTCTCTCTCTCTCTCTCTCTCTCTCTCTCTCTCTCTCTCTCTCTCACTTACTCACTTCTACTATTACTTCAAATGAATTTCAAATCAGCTTCAAGGAATTTCAGGGAAAAATTACAAAGAATATTTCTCTGTCATTATAGCGCGCGTGTTTCGCCTTATTTTGTTATTTTATCGAGACCCGGAACGAATAAACAGCAATCGGTTTTAGATACCGACTCTGCATACACGAGCGACGGATGATTCACGGGAAACGCGAGATGTCGAGAGGCTGTGCTGGCTGTTTCTCGTCGCCAGGGTTCAACGTTCACTCCGCGCAAGGACGTGACTGTCGCCGTCGACGGCGACAGCGGTGGAAACACGCGAAAAAAGTCGAGAACGTGAAAACACTGATATTTTCTGTCGGAACGAGCGAGCCTAATGAGCCGCCTAACACGCGGAAAAATGATAAGGCCGGGTCCTTGACAGTTGGCACTTAAACGAGCCCCGATAAGCGCACGACGCCGACGTTGCTTTCCGGTATCGACACGATCTTAACCCTGAGTCGCATAAGCGAGCAAACACGCGGCGTATGCAATTTTCGAAAATTGCAAACAACAGGAAGAGCTATTTTTTAAGTCGATAATCGGGAGATAGTGTAAAGTTTGCTGTCACGTGAAATATTTTCAACATGCTTCGTTTCGCGTGATAATTTGTCACAGGACGAAGTATTTCAGACTGTACGAATTAGATACTTAAACGCTAATATTAGCGCTAATTTTATGCGCTTAAAGTACTTTAACTGAATCTTATCGTGCACGCACGTGTCTAGCTGGTACGTGCTAGTTTTCTATTCTTCATATTGCGGCATCTTTTTCGTCATTTGAAAAAAGAAAGTTCTCTAAGACTCTAAGCGATATTTTCTCGAACGTTCTGAACGCACAAAGATACCTCCATTACAACTGGCGATAAAAAACTTGTAGGTATTCTGTTGCCTAAATAACGTCGAACATTAAAAGAAACTTTCAATTGAGCAGCTCGAAATCTTGTTGTCCGCTCCAAATGGCGAGCGTTCATTTTGACCATCGTGAACTTCGCACCCGACGACGGTACGCTCGTAACGCACCGGCTTCGGCTCTCTGCGCACTTATTCCGCTCGAGTGACGATTCGACTCGGTAATGATTGTGCGCGGCGATTACGCAACGGGGGTAGAGAGACTCGAGGGCCCGCGCACAATCGTTGAGTAAGAGACGAGGTGAAGGTGAGCGGTGAAGCCGAGAGTAGTAGTAGCAGCAACGCGCGGCCGCGCCGTACCGCGCCGCGTTGGACGGGCACACGCGGGGAGGGTAAACTGCAGCTGATCGCTCGGGCT